CCCTGTGGCTCAAGTGGTAGAGTGCTAGCCTTGAGCTGAAGAGCTGAGGGACAGTGCCTAGGCCCAGAGTTCAGGCCCCACGACCGGACAAAAAAAAAAAAAAAAGAATTAATTCTGCACCGGGGCTAGGAAGGTGGTTCAGTGGTAGAGTGCTTGCATTGCATGCATGACACCCTGGGTTTGATCCCTCGGCACCACATAAACAGAAAGGGCCGGAAGTGGCACTATGGCTCAAGTAGTAGAGCACTACGCTACCCTTGAGCTGAAGAGCTCAGGTACAGCACCCAGACCTAGAGTTTAAGCCTATGACTGACAAAAAAAAAAAAAAAATTAGTTCTGAATGTCACATATCAGCAACAACAAATTATACCAGAGTAAGTGTTTGTTAGAAGTGGAAGGAGCCACAATGATTACTCATTTTGTACTTCTCTTAGAGAAGGAAGAAAAGATTAGGTACAACCCCACTGTTACACAGTTGTTTTTTTTTTTTTTTTTTTTGTCAGTCATGAGTTTGACCTTGGCTTGGGCACTGTCCCTGAGCTCTTCAGCTCAAGGCACGCATTCTACCATGTGAGCTATAGTGCCACTTCTTTGAAAAATCTATATAAACATAACCAAACCTTTACTGCTTTCTTCTTTTCTTACACTTCTCTGTTTTTAAAGATATGCGCTGGGTGCCTATAATCCTAGCTACTCAGGAACTGAGATCTGAGGTTCAAGGTTCAAAGCCAGCCTCAGCACGAAAGTCCATGAGATTATTTTTTATTTTATTTATTTATTTATTTTTGGATCCGGTCGTGGGGCCTGAACTCTGGGCCTGGGCACTGTCCCTCAGCTCTTCAGCTCAAGGCTAGCGCTCTACCACTTGAGCCACAGCACCACTTCTGGCTTTTTTCTTTTTGCTTATGTGGTGCTGAGGAATCGAACACAGGGCCTCAGGCATGCAAGGCAAGCGCTCTACCACTGAGCCACATCCCCAGCCCCCAGTCCATGAGATTATTGTCTCCAATTATCCACCAGAAAACTGGCAGTAGCACTGTGGCTCAAATGTTAGAACACTTGCTTTGCGTTGAAAAACTCAGGGACAGAGCCCAGGCTCAGAACTGAAGCCCCATGACCGACAAAAATAAAATAAATAAATAAAGATTTGCGCCATTTTTCAAGACTTCTGTAGTACTGCGGTTCAGATATAATATTCTCATATCTAAAGTGAGTTTTTCTTTTACCTGTTCTTAGAGGATCCAAAAAGAAGAAGAACTTCCTAACTGCTGTACAAACATAAAAAGAATAAAAGGATTTTTCCAGCCCATCTAGTTGTGGCAAAGTAGGAATAAGTTCCAAAATGTAGTTTTCTAAATCCTAAAAACAAAAGAAAATAAAAGTTTACATTGCTACATGTCCAATCTTGATTTTTATCATTGATAATAGTTATACAAAGAGGTTTCAATTCCAAAATCAAGTTATGAGTATAATACACCCTGAAGAATATCACCCCTTCTATCATTTCCCCTATCCCCCTCTCCCTGTACTTGTTTCATAGTTCAATTTTTATATAACATACATTGAATATAAAGACTATTTGCTCTCTTCAGTCTTGATTCTTAGATACTGGGATATACTTTCAGTTCTAAAAACTATTCAGCATAAAAAATATATCAGCTATGTTGGGTTTGGTACTGCTTGCCTGTTTTCTGGCTGAAGGAAGAGGAGGAATTCAAAGTCAATTTGGGATACATAACAAATTTGAGGCCAGACATTGCTTCAAACAACAAGCCCCCAAATTTTATTAGTTGGGTATGGTCTACATGCCTATAATCTCAGCAGTTGAGAGGCCAGCCTGTGCTACACGATGAGAACTTATCTCCAAAAAGAGTTTTCTCTTCCCTATTTTCTCTCCCCAAAGTTAAATTTTTTCCCCTATTTTGAGACTAGGTCTCATTATATTGCCTAGGTGGTCCTTGAAAATCTGAGCTCAAAAGATCCCCTTCCCTCAAACCTCCCAAGTAGCTGGAAGTTTATATTTCAACTTCTGTATGGCTTTCTACATACAACCAATGCACATACAACCAATACATATTTTTGTATATTTCTCATGTTCTTTAAATACAAGATATAGCACCATACTACAAAAACTGCTTTTGTCATTTAACAATATTCTTTATAGTCATTCCACAGAGGCATATTTAAGAGCTACTACTTTACAAAACTGTTAATTTTGTTGTATAAACATACCAAAATTTATTTTACTAGGTCTCTGACATTTCAGTTGCTTCTAATATTTTGTTACACTAAAAATATCATAAGGAGATAAACTAATTTTTCATTCAAACCTACTGTGGAAGACTGTAGCATACACTTCTTATAAGTGGAATTCCTAGGTTAAAACATAGACACATGTATAAATAATTGTGATAGACAATGGCATACTTCTTACCTCCTCAACAGAGGCCATATTCTCGTCACTGATACAAAGACAATTTCTACAGTTCCCAAATTATGCACTTAGGTGCCTGGGAAGCACTGCAGTGAGCTGATGGTTCAAGTTTGAGGGAAATGTGGGGATATCTGTCACACTCAGCATGGCAGATGTTGAGAGATTGCTATGAGCTAGAAATGCTAGGTAGGTTGTATTAGCATGTAATATATTGCTTTTAATGGAATAAATCTTTGCAAAGCTATGTTTTGTGTGTGTGTGTGTGTGTGTGTGTGGTGTTTTGTTTTTTGTTTTATTGCCAGTCCTTGGGGCTTGAACTCAGGGCCTGTGCACTGTACCTGAGCTTCTTTTGCTCAAGGCTAGCACTCTACCACTTGAGCCACAGTGCCATTTCCAGCACTGTATGTGGTACTGAGGAACTGAACTCAGGACTTCATGCATACTTATCAAGCACTCTACCACTAAACCATACTCCCAGCCCCAATCCTAACTCCTTACTATGGCTTAAAAAGGCTCTCTGTGTAGTCCCCACATACCTCTCTGACTTGATCTCCTGCCACTTTAACTTTTGTGCTCTAGCCACCTCAGCTTCCTCTTATCTTAAAATTGTTAAACAGTGGGGTTTCAACTTCACATATTTGCTTCTGTGTACAATGCACCTTTATCAGTCATGCCCCCTTTCTATCATCTTCCCTTCCTCAAGAGCCTTTTTATTGTCAAGTTGGTCTGAAACAATTATACTTGTCCCAGGAAGATTCATAGCATAAGTGAAAGGAGATTCCATTTACAGAAATCTGAACTAACTCTACATCAAATTGCACAAGGTACCATATACCTTTTGTAATGAGATGCTTATATATTTTAAGTCTTCTATTTGGTAGTGGGCATTATATGGTAAGAATGGGATTCTTACAGAAGCACCAAGAAAGAATACAGGCATATGAGGAGGCTTAAAAAAAGTGTGTGTGTGGGGATGTGAGGTTGGGAAGGTGGCTCAGTGGTAGAGTGCTTGCCTTGCATGCATGAGGCCCTGGGTTCAACTCCTCAGCCCCACATAAGCAGAAAAAGGTCAAAGTAGTGCTATGGCTCCTGTGGTAGAGCGCTAGCATTGAGCTGAAGAGCTGAGGGATAGTGGCCAGGCCCAGAGTTCAGGGCCCACGATCAACAACAACAAATGGCCACATTACAGTTTATGAATGAAGGAGGATGAAAGAGAAAACTAGCAAAGGGTCAGATACTCTATACTACACAAGTTACAGTAGTTTTCTTTAAAAAAGGGAAGGGCAGGGCAGGGCTGGGAAGGTAGCTCAGTGGTAGAGTGCTTGCCTTGCATGCATGAGGCCCTGGGTTTGATTCCTCAGCACCACATAAGCAAAAAGAAAAAAGCTGGAAGTGGTGCTGTGGCTCAAGTGGTAGAGCGCTAGCCTTGAGCTGAAGAGCTGAGGGACAGCGCCCAG